AGGCCCCCCCCGCCACTGAAGATCCATTCAAAGTCGTGGCAGGAGAGTTTAGGGGGTCTTCCAATGTCATCCGAGGCACCCTCTGGGGTCCTCCTGCAGGACCGGGGCCATCCTGCCTTCATTGAACACCTTCAAGAGAAAACTGGATGCTTATCTTGCTGGGATCCTATGACCCCAGCTGACTTCCTGCCCTTTGGGCAGGGGGCTGGACTTGATGATCTTCCAAGGTCCCTTCCAGCCCTAATGTCTATGAAATCTATGAATGGGCAATGTTAAGGATTCATCTAATTTTATTTGCCTATCCTATGAAGTGTCATATGTACTGGGTGTAGGAGTCGGGTTTCAAAACTGGTCATTGTCAGGAAGCACATGTATTTGCTGTTGCATTAACTTTTGAAAAGGGGGGCACCTAAGGTAAAACATTTTGGCAGTTATGAGCAGAGAGGTAGTTAACCGTGTCAGTCTGAAGATGGACAGAAGGCAGGACACGGTGGTGGTACCTTACAGACCAACTTGTTCAGAGAGGCATGAGCTTTTGTAGGTTATAACCTACTTCATAGCATCTGACCTCATGCCTCTCTGAAGAAATTAATCTATGTGGTGCCACCCTGCCCTTGCCTTCTGCCTAATGTCAGCATTTAATATTTAATTAACACAATATTATAAATAATAATTTAATATTTAATTTAGTATAATTTAATATTAAATTATAACACAATATTATAAACACAAATTTTTAATTACAGATAAAGAGTTGGGTTAGTAAAATTTAACTAGGTGTATGCGTATCTAGTATTCCAAAAAGAAGCAGCAGGCTTCTGCAACGTTAGATTCTTGATGTCACAAACCATTTTATTTTAGGTCAATACTACGTTCCACTGTTGAAAGCAGAAGACAATTCATCATCTCCTGTAATTGGTGCACCTTGGTCACCTGATCAGTCAGACGGTAATTCCCATACAGCTTTACCAAGATACACTGGCAGCCCCAAAGATCCAGTCTTATCTGTCAGAGCTTTTGCTGGTCCAATGAGCCCATCCAAGGTAAGGATTTGAGGTCTTGCTATTCTGTTTGTAACGTGGATTTCACAGCAGTGTAATTTGTACCTAGCTGATGGCTCGTTTGGAGGAAATGCTTATTTCCTTTGGAAACCTTGGTTGGGTTCACTGTCAAGATTATTTTTATTTTAGGAGTAAAAACATGAATTTTACCTTTCAGAAAGGGTAAGCATACGTTGGTACCTCTTTAAAACCTTTTGAATAGATGTTTTAGGAGCATCAGGTAGGGAGCAGAAAACAGAGCAGCAGATCAGATGGGGGAAGGGATTGTAGTGGCACTCAGAGGGCATGGGTCTAATTTCTTGCGCGCCTGCCAAAAAGGTGTGAATTTACTATTCTAAAGCACCACACCTCTCAATGAATGAGCGTTTTTGGACAGCCTTAGAAAACAACTTATGTTAAATTGTCTCCAGTAAAGCCAAAGCTAGTTAATATTTTAAAGCTGTAACAACACTGCAGTTTTGCCTGTAGAGATAATCCTGGAAGGTCAGTTGGAACCATCCTGCACCATGATAAATTAGCAAAGGAAGCTATAAATTGTGGTCATTTTTAATGTGTAAATATGAATAATATCTTCTTTAAGATCTGGGACTTCTGAGACCTATGTACAGTATTAAACAGGTACGTTTGAATGGCAGCAACTGTGTGTAAAATAAGCCACACCTCATAGCTGATATAGCTAAACAGTGTATTTTCAGGTAAATTAATCACTGAGCAGGTTAACATCTCTTTGGAGCAAAACCTTTTGTGCCTGTAGGTCGAGACATGAGCTGTAGTACACATAAATGTGTCTGTAATTTGCTATTTATATACTGAACACTTTCTTGTTTTGAAGGCAGAAGAGTTTCGCAGGCTTTGGAAGACTCCACCTCGAGAGAGAGCAGGCTTTTTTCACAATGTCAGGAAATCTGATCTGGAGAGAGGCGTTGAAAGAGTTGGAAGGTACTTCTGAAAACCACGGCATGAAAAAAGACGAGTTTTTAGCACAAGCCAGACAAGCATTAAAAAAAAAACCTGCAGCATTAAAGGCATGCTAATGGTTAATGTAAAGAGAAGCTTCTAATTGAAAAATCCTTTCCACAATCATGTTAAGTATTCTTTGATTGGGTCTTTACGTCAACAAACTTCTTCTTTAGCTCAGAAAATAAGACCTAGCTAACCTGCTTAGCAAGAGAAAAAGAATTTGAATTTTAAAACAGTAGTAGTCAGAATATCACGTACAAAAACTTCTCTCATGTAGTCAGTGCAGTGGTCTCTGACTCATTTGTCTAATTTCTGAGAAGATTTTGGACAATGCAGAAAGATAGTCTCAGTGGTTAATAATGTGCTCAAGCACTGCCTTATTTTGCAAGATGAGCAATGCTGAAAATGTATGGACTGGAAAAGGTCTTAAAGTATCGTCGTATTCTCTCTCCAGTTGGGTGGCACAGAAAATGTTCATCTCCGAATGGCTTATGTGTATAGATACTTCCTAACAACTAAACGGTTCTCTGGACTTGGGTACTACTCATACCTAAAAACCTGAGGCAGTTTATTATCAGTGGTGGCTGGATTCCTTCCACCTTCAAAAATGTATTTTTTTTAAAGATAAATTAAAAAACAATGATGTTAAAACCTTCAGCAAAGAAATGCTTATGCCAGGAATGATTCATCTCTGAATCTGATACTAAATTAATCACAGCAGTAGATGTGTAAAGTGTGTGTGTATTGTATAATACGCACACAAATATATATAGGTAAATCTTGAAAAAGTATAAAAAGAATTAGAAATAGATTATATTTTTAATATTATTAATATTGTTTATATTGCAAGAGTCAGCTGCAGCAGAATACCTACATCTTGCAGAGTTGCAGTTTTACAGACCTAGTGAAAGTTGATGAAATATGTTTAGTTAATTTGATGTCATACTAATTTATTGTGTGTTCACAAATGATTCGTTTTATTTTATTTATTGCAGGGAGTTAGCTCATGAGCTGGGGTTCCCGTGGGTTGAATACTGGGAATTTCTGGGCTGTTTTGTTGATCTGTCTTCCCAGGAGGGGTTGCGAAAATTAGAAGAGTACCTGAGTCAACGGGAAATGAGCGAAAAGGCTCAGCAAGAAACGGGAGAAAATGAAACCTGCAACAAATATAAAACTCCCCATCCTCCTGGTAAGAACAGAGCAAACGAAACTAAAAGGGGTTACATAAATATACAAAATAAAGGCTTTGGATGGATGGGGAGGAAAAAAGTCAAGTTCCAGTTTTTTGGTTGCAGATATTTATTCATTATTCACATGTTCTGATTTTAATGTAGAAACAATAGCTCATACAAGTTTAGAAAATTCACTTCGAGTTACCAAAATACATTTTGTTAAACACCTGTTCCCCTTGCTTTTTTTCTGCTAATTGTAATTAATATGAAAACCTGGACTCCTTAATAAAGTTCAAAGAAAAAATTATGTAAAGTCAGGATTTCACCCACAATGTCTGGGAATTCATTTGTGGAATACAGAATAGCTTTTGTGGTACATATGGCCCAATTAGTTTTCTTAGACAGAGTAATTCATTCTGACTGGGGCAAAGGACATTTGTTAAGTAAAGTACAACACAGGTTTTCCATGAGTTTCTTAGATTGCTAGCTGTTATGTCAGCACTCCTACATATATAAAAAAAAAAAAAGTATGGCTGGAAGAAACATCTAGAAGTCATGTAGTCCAGTGCCCTACTCAAGGCAGGAATACTCCTGTTTAAAGCATCTGAGAAAAACAATATATGCTTAAAAACTTTTAGTAGTGTAGAGTCTACAATGTATCTGTAATCTGTCCCGGTGCTTACTCTCTGAGTTAGAAAGGTTTTCCTAATTGTAAATTGGATATTGTTTTTAGTATTGACATTTTGGATTATAGGATTAGTGAAATTAGCTAATGCCATTGCTTAGGTCAGATTATAAAGGGTTTCAATAAATGGATATCTAAAGAGAATAATGGAATTATCTTAAATCATAAAGACTGTAGTTGTTTGTTGTATCTGATAGGATTTGTGTTATCAAACCTGTTACATGTGTGTCTCAATGTAATTATTTCTAGGAAAGGGTAAAAAGTGCAGCAATTCCATTTCTGTTGGAGCATTTCTGGAAGATGATGATGATGATGACATGAGTTTAGAAGAAATAAAAAACAGACAAAACGCGGCACGGAAAAACAGCCAGCCAATTGCGTCCAAGGAACCTAGTATAGATGCTATTGGAGATTCAGAATGTGACATCTTGTCAATGGAGCACAAAGTTAACATTATAGAAACGTCTTCCCTTTCCAGGCACTATGAAAAGGAGGTTCCTTCCAATAAAAATGGATTTTGCAGTCCTGTGACGAACGAGAGGATCATCAGCGACAGGAAGCACAATAGGGAAGAATGCCTTATACCTCCCGTTACAAATTTAATGACAGAGTTTGAAAGACTCTCTTTCCAAGACCAAGCAGTAGCAGGAAAATGTTTGGGGGAGAAATTAAATCAAACTGTTGCAAAAACTGAGAATGAAAGAACTCTGGCTGAAGGAATGAGCCAGGGCAAAGTATCCACAGACCAGCAAGATACCTGCCCATTAAGTCCCACAGCAAGCTGTTCTTCTGAGGTAGGACAGTTAAGGACAGAAAGTAAAATGCCATCAGAAATGGAGAGAATGTCAGTGGGACCAGGTATTCAGGATAACAAGCCACAACAATGTCAAGAGTCGTCCTCCCAGAGATTTCTTTTGCAGACTGCACCCACAAGCAAAAGTTCTAAGAAGTTATTCCTCCTAGGGTATGAATTGGATTGTGTCATGTTTTTTACTTTTTTTTAATTGATTTGTTTTTGATCTGTAAATACAAAATTAAATGCTGTATTCATAATGCTAACTGCAGCAAGACTAATATTATTTGAAGCTAAATCATGTTTATTGGAATCAGTTTGAAAAAAACTATCTCTTTAAAATGTTTTAACCAGAGATAGTTTTCTACTAATGCATATCTGTCAAAATACTGCATGTCAAATAGGGCATGGAGGAAAGACAGCTCTTCAGCATTTCCTCTGGTATTAGTCTGGAACTAATACCTCAGCCCATGAGCTATCTATCGTCTGTTTATCTGGTAGACTTGTTTATTATGAGCCTGCCTTACCTAAGTTTTAAAAAGTGCATAATCTATTTTAAGGACTATGATAGTGAATACAGGGACATTCTTCTAGCTTCCCTCTGTTTGTTTATTGGTCTCTATTGCAGCTTGAAACATAATGAACAGGCAATATTTATATCAAGGCATGCTTGGAAAAAGTTTTTTGAATGTAAAGAGCTAATCGGATTTGTGGGCTTGTATTGATTAGAATCATTTTAGAACCGAGGGGTGCATATGTAGGGTTATCTATGTGATTACAGTTCTTTTTATTTAGCTCTCTTTTTGTTTTAGGGAACAGCCATCAAAACTGGATAGTGATGTTTTAGCAGCTATAGAAGGACTAGAGATTGACCCGCAGAAATACCCTGTTGTTTACAACTGGAAGAATGCTGTACAGTCCTACTCTTCTTCTGACAGGCAAAGGTACTTGTGCAAATTTAATACGAGTCAAAAGGCAACATGTTTTTAGTTTGCCAGTTGCAAAAGTACCCGAATAACTGGAATATCAGGCCCCGTACTGTACAAATATCTAGGTTAAAAGTATTCACTTCTGTTGTAACTAATACACTTTAAAAATTAAGCCAAATTAAGTTTCTTGTTTGTTGTATGCTTGCTGGTCCCTGGGGTTAAATTGGTATTGTTCACATTGGGCTTCTTTCCTTATTTCCTGCAACATACTTCTAAATATGCTCAGGGTTGAATATAGAAGTTTAAAAAGTGTAGTATTTAACTTTGTTGTATTGGTCATCAAGGCTGAAATCTGTTATTATTAAACACAGATGCTGTGTATTGCAGTTTACTCTGCATTTTGTGAAGGACACAGGAGTTGTGTGTGGGAACAAATGGCCAAGAACCTGACATTGCTGCCCCTCTGACTTCAAATAGCTGTAGTGTTTGGGGTGGGAGAAATCTGGGGGAGGAGAGCTGGAGCAGCATGGTGGAGAATAGGAAGGGCACAAGTCAGTGAAGGGAGAAATGTGACCTGCTGGGTTTAGGTGTTGAAGGGCAAGGTGGAAAAAGGCTAAAGCTGAGGCAGTTGGAAATAGCTGCTGTCCAGTCCACTTCCTAGGACCAAACAGTTATAGTCTAGAACATGAAACTACAGAAAGAAGGCATTTGATGATTGTAATGAAGTACACATTTAGCCTTAGATTTTCAAAAGTAAGTAGTTGACCAAATCTCATTTAAAAAAAACCTCTTAAAAATATGACTTTTTAGTGCATACAGAATGCGTTTGTCTGTAAACTCCTTTGGCAACTGGACAGCTTTTTCTCTTCCTTTTTAAAGAACTACAGTGAAAAACCCCGGAGTTAAAAACATTTATTTAATTGGCTGTAGGATTCCTTCAAAAACGAGATGCAATCTTAAAACAAATTGTTTCTTTAAAAAATGTACTGAGTCTAAAATCCTTTTAAAAGAAAGGTAAAAACTCTTATGCATTGTAGAAGTTTCGTCCTTAGAAATTTGTCTTTTATTAGATTTTTTTTTTCTTGAACGAAAAGTCAGAAAATTTTGGTTCATCCCGAATTCAAGGATATTCTTATATTTAAAAGAATGTAGTGCCACATCCATAGTAAAGTTTGTACAGCTAAGATTTGTTTTGTAAAGTTCAAAACAAGTTACCTGCCCATTGGCTGATGTTTCATTGTAGGCTGGCCATGTAATATGTTGGACATCTTGCACTTTTGGATGTAGATTGATCCCATCCAGGTACAGAAGCAGTTGAGGCAATAATACCCTGTCAGTGTGGTTTATTCTATTGGGTATTCTTTCCTAATGTCAATGGATATTGAATTGTAATTGACCAGATGCTTCAACCAATGAGATGCAGACTTAAAAAAAAAAAAAAAAATTAACCTTTTTGGATCAAAGTGCAGTTGCCAGTTTTAATAATACATTGGTGTCTGATACAATATGCTGATTTTTATATTTCTTGTTCTTCATTTGTTTGACTGCTCAGTCTGTTCTCTTCTGATGCTTTTCCATTAGGCTCACTGTGGTAATGAGTGAGCATATTGCTTTCTCACCAACTAATAAATGGGTGGGTTTTTTTTAAACAAACAAACAAAACCCCCAGATGATGATATTTCTTTTTGTTTTCTTTTAGTTGGCCAAGTCCATCACTGAAAGGAAGGTCCAAGTCTCAGCCTGTTGGTGCAGGTGCTTCAAGTACTTCAGCATACTGCAGCCCAGGAAGAAACAGTCCAGTGATGGGCAGCCCAGGGAAATATGGCAATGCTGCTTCATTCTCTCCAGATCTTGGGAGTCCTGGACGTTACAGTCCAGCATATGCCAACCACATCCTGTTAAAACTGCGTCATATTTCAGAACCATCCACCCATTAGAACATGGTCCGTTTTCCTGGGACTTAAATTATATTTACATCTTAAAAGTGGGGCAGGGAGATGCGGTGTTGCTAAAGTGACACAAAGAAGCATACTTGACTACTTATCCTCATCTCGAGGACCAGTATATAGTAAAAACTGAATACGTCTTGATGCCATATACCAGATAGATTATTGGTGATTTGCAAGAAATAAGTGATGGTTAAGTTAACTCAGTTATTCAGTAGCTATAAAATAAATAACCCCTACACTTGTTAACAGTAGAGCAGTGATCTGAACCTTTCACTTAACAATTCCCAGTTGAAATAGTGTTCTTTATTGTAGAGCAAGTATAATTGTCAGTATGAATCTATTCACCCACAAATGCATCTCTTCACTTGGATATCCTTAATGAAGCACAGTGTCAATAAACAGATTTCTAGGTTAGAAGGAACTTACAATGAGGAGTTAAATACATATTCCATTTGTTGTATTTGCACTGAAGAACTTTTAAAAACTAAATGGGAGAGATGGCTTTCCTGTTTGAATGAGAATGTGATTACCGGGTGTGTGATCTGTCCATGGCTAAGAACTTGTCTGATTAGTAAGAAGAGATCAAAATGAGGTGCAGTTTGACAATTTTATGAGTCACTGCTCATTCTGTGGGTATTAAATAAATGTCATGCATTGAGTGTTTTAGGAAAGGGTCACAATAGAAATTTGATGTACGTGCAAGTGTTTGAATATGAAAAGCTCAGCTTTTTTCCCCACAAAGGTTTTACCGTTTGCAGATGTTAATAGTAATTACACAAAAGCACATCAGCAATAATTTAAGTAAGTTTACCAGCAATGTATCTTAAAGGTCCAGTTTGTTGTGCTATATTATGGAGATTAACAGAAAAACCCATAATATTGGGTTAATCTTCTGTTAGAAGGAATGAATAAGGACTTTGACATTTTTGTTGAAATACAGCCTGTTGTTGTGCCTGTAACGTAGTTGTGGTAACCGTCCTTTGTTAGCTACAGTTAATTTTCATTCTTTAGTCCCTTTAAGAATGAATCCCTTAGTCCAGTGTTGAAATCGGGAATGTCCTAAATTTTGATTCAGAATGCCAAATACAGATTTTGGTGATTTGTAGTGTGCTTAAGAGGCGGCTTCCAGTAACATAGCTCCCTATTACACAGTTTTTTATTTAAAAAGTTAAAAACACAACTATTATCTTAACAGAAAATTCAAAGCGGACACATCTGTGTTGGTAGAAAATATTAATTATATTATTGTTACTACCACCCCCATAAAATAAGAAAATAAAAAAAAAATCCTTAGGAACTTTATTATAATATACACGTTTAAAGGAACACTAATAATAGATGGGATGTTATTGTGTCTCTGAGACTATTAATGCATTAGAAGATGGATTAAATTGCCTAGGGACAGGTTTGCTGGCTGTTGCATACTATAAGGTGACTGTTCATATACAAACTGTACAATGTTCTGAATATACTCATTGTTTGGTACAAGTTCCAAACTGCACTTACGCTTTTGCAAGCTTAATAGTGCCTTTTGTAACATATTTTTAAATTAGCATATTGTTCTTGCTTTTAAAAGTGTAAAGAAAAATACTATTCGCATTCACAGGCGTATAAACTGTGGTTTCCCTTCTAAGACTTGAGAACTGAAAATAATTCTAAAAGCTCTTTCTGAATTTTAGTGGTTTGGTTGAGATATCTCTAGACTTTAGAGTAACAGATGTAAATTTTGGAATTCCAAAGGTTATAGATGGCTTAAACTGAGTCTGTTTCCAATTATAAGAATATTAGAAAGAACTGTTCTGAAAAATGACCTAACACCAGTAAAATTAACCCAGATAACTTAAGACCTTTTAAGACTCTCCTCTCAAGAATCAAGTTTCCCATAAGTTTTCCAGTAGCATTTTGCTTGTTTTGGTCATAGTGGTCTTTATCAGACACATTCCTACATTGTCACTAGTCTGTGGAATTTTGTAACTTCTAAATTATGAAAAGTTGATCTAGTAAAGCCTCATACACTGCAGTATGCAAGTAATTGCTTATTGTTACACACACAGTCATTTGCTTGTGTACACAAAAGCTGAAAAGGCTAGTGAGGAAAATTTATTTTCTTTCTGAAATCCAAACCTTAAAACCTGCTATTGTTTGAAAGTATGGACAAAATACCCAACAGGCCTGTCAACAGACATGGCCTCTTCCAAACTATCATATCTACATTTACGATAAGTTCTGTATTAATTTAGAAATATTGTTGGTAAACAAATTCAGGAGGCTGAAATCCTGATACTTTGTTACTAGTTTCTATTTTCTTTTCTGCTTATTGCTATATGCTTTTTGTATTTTAATGTGTATTTCTGGCACAAAGACTTCTGACTACAAGTTTGTAATTAATGTTTTAGAGTTATGTAGGGGTGGGGATATTTTTTATTGAGAAATGGCTTCTGGAATTTTAGCCCATTTGTTGTACTGTGTTTTAAGAAGTAACTTTATAACACATTATATTAACTTCATTTATTTAAAATTAACAATGTATTTCTTTATGCTCTTGAAGGAAGATCTTCCAGTGGAGAGTCTGTGGAGACGCTTTAAATGTAGATTAGAACTGTTTAGTTTTGTGCCTTTATTAGGCAGCAGTTTGCTATTTAATGATGCAAAGGACACATTTTATTATGTCGAGTAAGTCAAAATACTGAGATGTAGCTACCAGTGTTGTTCTTTCCATTCGAAATATGCAGGTAGTAGAAGGGTTGGAGTTGGAAAACGTTTGGGTCCATAGGTGCATGAGAATATGGGTCTATGTTTTGAAACAGAATGAAGAGTATCAAACTCCATACATTGTTCAAGTTTTGTTTGTATGATGAAATTGAGGTGGTGCCTCAATCTGGTAAAAGAGAATAAAGGCTCAGAACATGTTTCACATATACTAGATTTGGTCTTGAACACTGAATTTTTGGCATTTAAAAGAAACTGCCACATTTGGAGGGACGGAGGTAATTGTGCTCCATGTTGCTGAGGTCAGCCAGGTATAGTGTTGTCTTAATGGTACAATAACTGTACTCTAAACCAGGCAATTATATTTGTTTCTTTTTAAAATATATTTAATATGTTTTTAAAACAGTTCCAATACAAATGTTGCTGATTTTTGCTGTATGTGTCCAAAAGTTTGTTGTATATGCTCTGGCCTTCCAACCTGCACGTAGATATGGGTCTTTCAGTACTGTGTATGTACACGTGCTAGAGTAAATAAAGTGCACAAAGCAGTCAGCAATGAAGAACCCTTTGATTATCGGGTATGGCCACAATGTTTGTCACTTTACCTGGGGCATTGAATGCCAACAATGTTATATGCTTAAAGCTGCACTGAAACTGCTCTAAGTAGTGGAAACTGCATTCCAAAGAATTTTAGTGCATGTGAGAGAGACTACTGGAATTAGTGTTGGTGGGGCTGTTGGCTGTAGCTTAATTACAGTCCTCCCTCTTTTGTTGACAGCCTATATCCATTGACCGAAAATATAAAAATGCCTCTCCCTTCTCTTTAAGCTATCACCATGTAACATGCAGGCAGATATTTACATAATTTTTTCCCATTTATTTCAACAAAACTCCTGAAGTTCCTAAACAAATGAAAAGCCTTCCTTCTGATCATCTGCCAGCAAACTGTCAAATATTATAAACGTTCCTTAATGTTGCACAAACAGCTTGCTGTACTGAGACTGTTAGCACATTAGAAACAGTGTGACCTTTTTGTCAAAGGTACTCGTACCAGGAAGCAGTACTTACTTTTGTACCTTGTAATGCATCAAGGGACACAGGTACCAGACAGCAAAACCTCCCATATTTTAATGCATGTGTGTACATGCTTAAATTGAGACTAGAAAGGCTTCTGACAATGCCCTATACCTGTACTGCAGTGAGGACTGTATTTAAAGTGCAAATGTAAAACATATTTGCACAAAATGTTGTCATCTAGGCAACTGAAAATGTCGGGGGGGAAAAAGAAGAGAAACTTATTAAGAATGTGTGAAGCACAATATCTTGGGTGGATGCCTCAAAGCTAGTGATTGCAGAAAGGCTATGAATAGGGATAAGGAATATGCCAGTGCCCACAAAAAGAAAAGGAAAACAGCAAAGTATGAAAATGCTAAGGATGCATGAGCCCTGCAGGAAGAAATGCTGGGAACTGGTATCTCTATCACTGATGGATGTTTGCTGAAAAGGCTAAAGCTTTTACTGATCAGTTGGGTGTAGAGGAGTTTGCAGGAAGCAAGGGATGGGTTTATGTTTTAAAGCTTGCCATGGTTTCACCAGTAAATAACATAGGGTTATGAAATGTCTGTAGATTTACCCAGGCTAAGTCTGTAGCCATTTCTAAATAAATGGAAGATTAGCCTGGGGAAGTCTGAAAGAATATGCAACTGCTGATGTGTATATAATGCTGATGTATTTACTAACCCCAGGTAAGACCTCATTCCACAAATGGTAGTTGTACACTAGGGAAAATAGCCAAAGATGCTGTGTTGTATTTAGCTGCTCTAAATATGATGGAATAGGCAAGCTGCCCATTTTTCTTGGAGAGTGAAAACTGCTCTTCTGCTTTAAAGAGGGCAGGCACTTACCTGCCAAATTATGTAGTAAAACAGAGATGATATGCAATTCACCAAATGGATCAGAAGACTAGACAGAAATGTACTAGAATTGGTACTTCATCAAACAGTGTACCAATTAACCTATCCATGCACTAATCATTCCAAGCTGTTAAGTTCCACCAAACCCCACAGCTTTGCTTAAAGGATAATATAGGATATTAAATACATTTTATGGGCAAAAAGTTTCCTATAAAGTTCTGCGATTGTGCATCTTCTATGAACTCACTACCAGGAAAGGGAGTCACTGGTGAAACAAGATTTCAGTCTGAATTGTTTTTACTAGTGGATCTTTTTTTCCTGCAATTAAAGGATTTTCATTGAAAAAGAAGAAAGTGACAACCAGGGAAAAAGAAGTTTGTTCATTTTGCTAGTAGCACTGATGCAGGTGAATGATACACAGTGGTTAAAGATCTCCCTGCCTCTGGATGAATGTTAGGCTGAGAGTAACGGCAAGGAGGATTGGGCTGTAGGGAACATACTTAGTCAGAGTTGCAAGATCACCTTCGACTAGAAATGCAATTCATCTTGAAGGAAGGGTTAGTTACTTGGACAAGAACAGTTATCCATTTCATATGGGAAAGCTAAGAGTCCCAACATAAGTGTCTGCTTTAATTCATGACTGTGTTCTAGCATCTAAAATCCAAGAATATTAAATAGGTATTGAAATATCCTTATATATGCACAAAATAATTGAAACTGGGTGGATATCCAATAAACTAATAGTTCAAGTGTTGCTCGTGTGGTTAAAGTTGCTTTATTTTTTTTATTCATTTTTTACTTGCAGCCAGGTGTGTCAATATAACTGAGTAGGACTCTAATGTCAGGGTATGAGGATGCTATAGTTAACTAGTCTCTCGTGTATATTATGCAACTATCCAGAATGTTATAAAAACTCTGGTACAGCTTAGAGCTGTTTAGAAGGCCTGTTGAAAAACACCAGTTGCTTTCAGCTTCTGTGTTCTACTTTTTGCTGAATCTCAGCTCTGGGGCAAAGATAGGAGATACTGGAGCATATTCCAAACAAACACTTCCATGACCAAAAAACAAAACAGTTTAATTGTTACTGGTGAAACTGCCATAAATTTTACTTACCAGCTGCAGCTGGTGGTCAAATTTGTAGTATGACCGACAAGTTGGGTAAACAGGCTTTTGGTTGCCTTTACTCTTTGTTGTTGGTGCAAAACCCCTGTAACTATTTAGGAAGTCTGCGGTTACTGAAGCTAGATGTTTCATCCCTTCAGAAGCCATTACTGTAGTGCAGAGGTGGGCAAAATACAGCCCGGGTGCCAGATCCAGCCCGTGGAGCCCCTAAAAAAATTTAGAAAAAATAATATTTATTTGTTCCTAGCTGCCTGTCAAAGATGACAGGAGCCAGGGGCAGTAGGGTCCAGAGGAAACTGGTGACAGGACCCAGCAGCAAGGCCTGCCCAGCCCTGCCCTGCCCCCGCAATTAGAAACCCCTGCCTAGCGGAGGCTTCTGGCTTGGGACCATGGGGTGGTTCCTGCTTCCCTACACTGGAGAGGGAAATGCAGCCCTCAACAGCTTGCCACAACTTGGTAAGCAGCCCTCTGCCCAAAATAATTGCCTGCCCCTGCTGTAGTGTGATACAAAGATCATATAAAACAAATTTATGTTATTTCTTATCCTGATACAACCTGCATTGCTGGCTTCTTGTTTGCAGTACTACTTGAGGACTAGATTAAGTTCTGTGCAGTATTACTAGAGTTTACCAGGGAAAGTTCATGGTCAGATTTTCCAGCTACTTCTCAAGTAAGTTGAGGACTTCCTATCATGAAAGCCTCAAAAAGTCAGCTTCTGGTTGGAATACAAAAAGGACCACAGCTTTCAAGTCTAGTGTTTGTCAGAGTAACACAAGCAAGACAGGTTAGAACTGGAAGGTCAGGCAGCACTACAAGAAGCTCGTACTACTGATGTTACCCTCCCTCCTTCCACCAAAAGCAGTGGGAGAAGATAGACAATCAGTGAAAACACATCACAAATGTTAAGTTTTAACAAGTTACATGGGACATGCACTGTCATTATGTAACAATGGCACCCAAGTCTAAACAAAGTCTTGCTTCTATCAACTTGGATACATTCCTCACACCCCCACTCTGCCCCTGATCTTCCGATGAAAAAAGTTGCTTGAGCTCACTCTATGCAATGCAGTTTAGAATTAGAGGGGCTAAAATTGGCAGCTAACTGCTTGGAATCCCCCTGCCCCTGTTTTTGGTTATGCTGCAGCAATTCTACTATTTTTGCTATTTCTGGAAATTCCCTTCATGCATTTCCCTAGATTGTTTTTAGTCACATCAGGCTGAGTTGCCTCAATTTTCTCTAGCTGCAACTGTAGCTTTAGGAGTAAAGTCTTACTTCAGCCCATTAAAAAGAGAAAATATACTCCTTAAATCCAGTGCAGTAGTTACAATGCCACTTTCATGACGGTGGTAGAGTTTGAAGAGTAATCCTAGCCTGACCATTTCTAAAATGTCACACTTCTGGAATGTTACTGTATAAGTGACAAACACCACAAATTAAACCACTAAGAGCCAGACAAGTTATTTTTATTCAAAAAATGTTTAAAAAGCCAACAAAGTAGATACATTACAGTTTCTTGCATTGATTTGACAACCCCACATTTAATTTCCCCCACGTGCATTTTTCTCCTGCAGGACTTAGCTGCTCTACTAGTCCCAGTTTTACTGAACTGTCATCTGTGTCACACAGTATTTTGCATCAAGCTCATGGTTTCAGCTGCATGAATTCCTAGAGAATGACTTCCATGATTAAAGCTTTGGATGGCTGACAATGGAGAAAGAGAGATGAATAAACTAATTACAAAGAGATTTTTAAAAGGAAATCTCAGGCTTGACAGATTCTACCATCACCCAATTAAGTTTAGGGACCCTAGTTTTTGGTGCATGACAGCTTTCAGCACCCTAAGCATTTATCTGGTCCATGTTTGCCACCTTTAAGACACCCTGAAGAGAACAGAGCATGTGCTGCATCACCCTTGAATATCAGCTTTAGTTTTCTATAAAAAGTACATGAACTTTTTGCCTGAATGTATTCCCCTAGAAGGTTCTGGAGTGTGAATGTCTATAATCCCTTGATAACTTGGCACTGACAAGCAGTGATTTAACTTTAGCAAGCAGAAGAGTTGTGCGACATCCCTCTCTAACACACAAACCAGTTCACTGAAAGCACAGCCACTCATAACTGTACAGCAGAACTTCTACACAAATCATCCATGTCTTCTGCAAGAGTTAAGCAGCTTTGCTCGTCTTCAATATCAAGCCTAGCGTGATAGAGGGTGCTCTCAGCAGGATCTGCACATTTTGCTCCTTACCACAAGGAAAATAAAGTCCTTGGAAAAAACCCAAGCTCTGGTTAAAGAGGGAAGAGGACCCTTTCACTTTACAGCCAGGCAGTTGGCATGCCTGGTTGCACTGGGAACAAAATTATTAAGTCTTTCCATACTCCATAGCTCAGAGCAAGGATGCTGGATTTAAGTGAGCAACTTTATCTCTTCATATGTAAAATGGAATCTCTTCTTTTCTAGACTGAAAGGCAGGCCTGGCATGTGTGAAGGAGAAAGGAAGTTAGAATACAATTTTAACAGCATCACACCTGGTATTACAAACAAATCTAGTGGTACTGTAGCTGAACATACTAGTGCAGAGACTAGAGGCAGCTCCAGAATGGCCATCAATGGTACTAACTCAGGTGCGTGTGATTTTCTCTGGAGGCATGAATCCTGTGTCACCAAGCGTTCGAAGTGCCACTCTTCCATTTGGACGGATCACCAAGTGTGTTATACTACCATTATTTAGGGACATCCGAAGCCAGCCTTCTGGGGGGAACTGTAATGCTCTATATTGGGGGGGGGGGGGAACAAAAACAAAACAACAGGTATAGTTAATCTGTAACCAAATATGAAGATGAGCATGCAGCTGGTAGCTCTAGTGTCATTTTCTTCTCTGCTAGGTGGAAATATCTACCCCATTAAAGCTGTGCATCAAACAGTTTACATGCAAAATCTCCTGCCTAGAGCCATGGTACTGTAGCTCCATGCCTAGAAGTGAAAGGTGCAGGAAAGAAAAGGCAATGGCAAGAAGAATTTTAATTTAAATTAGCATCAGTGATAGCAGTGAAGATGCAAGCTCCTACTGGCAAGTCTGTGCCACTGTAACCAGAGCATGTATTGCAAGTATTGAATGGTAAACACACTTGCAGGTCTCACACTTTTTCAAATTGAGTTTTGTCTTCTCCTCCCTCATGCACTCGCAAAACTCCAATTTATCAGGTCTTTCCAATCCTTGGTCAGATATTTTAACCCCAACTTCCCATCAACTCTAAATTGAATCAGCTAGTTACAGACTGGCATCTGGGAGGCACACTAGGGGTTCTGCATACCTAGCCTAAAAACTGCTATTCAAAAGCTATAGCTTGGACTGCTTCATCTCAGACTTATTGTCAACACGAGTCAAAACTGACTATTGCACAAGAGTTTTCTACAGGACATCACCACACAGCATTGGTGAAGTTGAGCTATTATTAAATTAGATCTCAAAAGGAAAACAAGGGCAAGGAGGGAACAAAGGGAAAGCAGGGGTAGGAGAGTCAGGTCAGGACCTGGAGTTAAGAGCTGTAGAGAAGTGGTGGGGGGAAGAAGAAAGAAGAAAGTAAATTCAGAGAACTTGGGGAAACCAGAAGTAAAAAGCAAACAAACCAAAAAAACCCCACACACTGAACACTTCAGGAAAATACTCTAGCTTATTCCAGGAGTGAAAACAGACCTTGTCAAGTAACCATTAGCACTGCAATGAAAAGCAGAGGTACACTGATACATTGGTCCAATATCAGATCTGTACCGATATAAAGAAAAATTGGCTGCATCGGAAATCAGCCTGAAGGGACCAATAATATGGCTAATAAATGGCCATACGTTGAACCGGGGCTGTGCCAGGCGGGCGGCAGCAGCACTGGGAGCAACATTCCAGGGGGCTACGACAAGGTTCAGGGTGGCTGCAGCCACCTCCAGTGCCCCCTCCCAGCACCGCTGCCGCCTGCCGGGGCCCACACCCGGCCAAGAAGAGTCTAGCATTGCCCCAGCTCCAGCCTGCCTGCCCTGAGCAGATCCAGGGGCACATGCCCCCCCAACCCAGGATGTGTGCAGCAGTGGAAGCCACCCCCACAACTAACCATGACTCCATCCCATGCCCTACCCTGGATGGGCAGTACCTGCCCCTCCCCCCTCCCCCACCATGACCCTTTCCTCCCACAACAGATTTACCAGCTGTGCCCTAATACCAGAAGCTCCCCAACTTTCATTCAACCCTAAATGCTATTACCAGATGTGTTCATTTAGCTATGGGAGCCCTGATCTGCTTCCACAATAGGAGTTAGGACTGTTAAGGCAGCATGAACTACTGATTGCGAGATCAAGTTCAGAAAGAAAGACACCAATGAGATGCAAGTATATAGCCAAGGACAGGAGACAGCAGTTCCCCATCACTCTGCCAATCCCATTTGATTAGTTTTCTCTGCAACGATCCATACTTAGGGGGTGCCAGGGCTGGAGAGGCATAGGACACCACTAATAACTGAGACCTAGAAATGGGTTTCTATTCCCAGTGACCTTTGGTAAATCTTTCCCTTTTTACTTCACAACCATTCAGTAGGAATGGTCAAGCATTAACCACTGAGGGCGATCAAGCACTGGAAGAAGCTATCTAGAGAAACTGTAGTCTCCATCTCTGAAAGCTTTGAATAGCCAGTTCAGATACCCACTTTGGGATGGTTTAGTCAGGGATGATTCTGCTTTGAGAAGGGAGCTGGATTAGATGACCTTGTGAGGTCCCTTCAGCCCTACTTTACTATGATCCCTGTGAACATTCACATTTTAAATCCCTTTTTAATATCTGCAGCTTAATCCCATCATGATGTAGGAACAGCTGCTCACAGTGTAGCACTTATCCTCACTATTCACCTTCACCCTGCTAATAATTCGAGCAATTTCCTAGCTACAATGGCCTAACACCACAATGCACTAAACCAATTTTAGTAAAAATCTGTTAATTGTGCAGTTGAATCCTTCTTGCATCACAATTACCTGCAAACTATGTAGCGGATCACATTTGCATGACAGACAAAGATTTCATAGCTATCTTCTTCTTGCTTTGCATCTGCTCTATGAATGTAATTTCGGAAGGCAGCCTCAACGCGAGCCCCATCTTCGTAATACTGCTGATAACAAAGCGTTTGTCATTAAATACAGATCATACCAGCACAGGTCATTACCGACACCTTCTAAAGGGTCAGAAGTCAGTTCAGCTTCAAAACCTGCATGAGACTACTAAGGAGAATTTAAGGTATGGACAAATATCATGTGCTCACAGAAGAAAAAGGTATGGAATTATAGGAGGCCTAGCAGACAGCCTGCGCACAAGCAATACAAAAGTACAGTTAGTAAGACCCGCATGAAATATGCCCAACGACAAATTGTATATAAAAATTTACCACAGCTTCCGGCTTCCAGTGAGAGATTGGAGGATCCGGTTCTATAGGAGCTCCCTCTCTCAGCAGATCAGTGCTAATTTTTTTGACCCCTGGAAATTAAGTACACATTGAGAAAGAGAAGGTATCATTACTTCATAGGCCAATACAAATGGGCTCATGGTTTTAGTCAGGAAGATATAAATTACATTTCTTCATGTTCTGTATTCAAAGAAGCCATTAGGTCATAAGCAAAATCTGAACATTTAGGTTTATATGGCTTCCCATTAAGGATCTCTGATAACTTCCAATAGCAGAGACATTCACTCTTGCAGCCTTTTGTCTATTGGAATTCAGATCAAGTATTAAGAGCAGGCGAAGACTTCCCTTTCCAAATACGTGTTAATATTGGATTCTAAAATTTGACCTCCTTTAGTCCAGTGGTTCTCAGCCTTTTTTGTACCAGGACTCATTTGTAAACATTGATGGCCAGCCCCAACCCAGTGCCCCTCATTCCCAACCCACTGCCCCCACACCCCTAGGCCCCAGCTCT